CTACTGTGTGTAGCCAGCAGCTGCAGTGAGCGGCCGTCCAGAAGCCAGCGACTGATCTGCCTCGCCCGGGAAGAGTGCAATGATGGTGCCAACTTGGGTCAGTGAAGCAACGTCCTCCACAACTAGACTGAAGAACAAAACTACAGCAACTTGTCTGTTCCCCTTCCCTCAATTCCCCAGCACGTTCCCATCCCCCCAATTCCCCAATTAAAAAAAAAAGAAATCTTAAAAAAAAAAAAAAAGAAGAGACCAAAGCTCCAGAAAAAGAACTAAACAAAATGGAGACAAGCAATATTAAAGGCATTTCTTTAAAAAAAAAAGATAAAAAATATGAATAATAAAATGGCAATAATTACATACCTATCAATAATTGCTTTAAATGTAATTGGATTAAATGCTCCTATCAACTGATAGGGTGGCTGAATGGATAAGTAAACAAAACCCTTACATATGCTGCCTACAAGAGGCTCACTTCAGATCAAAAGACACACACAGACTGAAAGTGAAGGGATGGGAAAAAGACATTTCATGAAAATTAAAAAGAAAGAAAAAGCTGGAGTAGCAATACTTACACCAGACAAAATAGACTTTAAAACAAAGGTTATAACAAGAGACAAAGAAGGATCCAGTAATCCCACTTCTGGGTATTTATCTGAAGAAACGCAAAACACTACTTCGAGAAAATGTGTGCACCCATGTTCACTGCAGCATTGTTTACAATGGCCAAGATGTAGAAGTAGCCTGGGTGTTCGTTGATGGAATAATGAATAAAGAGTAGGTGGTACATTTATACAAAGAATATTGCTCTGCTATGGAAGGGAATGGGTTCTTGCCATCTGTGGTTTCATGGATGGACCTGGAGTGTATTGTACTGAATGGAGTATGTCAGACAGAGAAAAAGAGATGTCATGTGATTTCGCTTATATGTGGACTCTAAAAATCAAAATAAACAAACAAACAAATCGGAAACAAACTCATAGATACAGAGAACATTTTGTTGGTTGCCAGATGGGAGGGGGTAAAAAAGGGGGTAAAAAAGGGGAAGAGGTTAAGAAGTACAAATTGGTTGTTACACAGTAGTCATGGGCATGTAGTATATAGCATAAGGAATATAGTCAATAATATTGTAATAATTATGTATGGTCACAGATAGCTACTAATGGGTTGTTGGAAAAGTCATGACGCATTTTTGCAACAAAAAACAGAAAAAAATACGTCATGACTTTTCTGACAACCCAGTAGATTAATCGGGGTGATAGATGGGAGGGAGGTTGGGGGCAGGGTAAAAAAGGTGAAGGGATTAAGAAGTACAAATAGGTAGTTACAAAATAGTCATGTAGATATAAAGTAAAACATAGGGAATAGAGTCAACAATATGATAATTACTATGTATAGCACTACGTGGGTACTAGACTAGTCAGGGAGATCACTTCTTAAATATAAATGTCTAACTACTATGCTCTACAGCCAAAATTAATATAAAATAATAGAGAATGTAAACCGTAATTGAAAATTTTAAAAAGGGGTGAAAAAGGTGATGTGGAATAAGAGGTTCAAATTTCCAGGTATAAAACAAACAGGCCATGGGGATATAATGTACAGCTTGGGGAATATATACAGTCAATAATATTGTGATAGTGTGGTACAGTGTCACATCGATGCTGGACTTATCATGATGTTCACTTCTTTAGGTATATACATGTTGAATAACTATGGTGTACATCTGAAGCTAATATAATATTGTACATTAGCTATATTTTAATAAGAATCTTTAAAAAATGTAAATAATAGTGATGATGACAACCATGGAATGATCAAGATGAAAATAATAACAGCTAATGTGTATTGGGCACTTACTGTTAGGTCTCTGAATGTTAGGCCACAGAGACCTTGACTTATAGACAGAGCCACGTCTGCAAGAAAACAACAAAACGTCTGTTGGCCTGCACCTGCAGACAGAGCCAAACCCGCAATAACAGAAAATGCCACAAAACAGCTACTGGCTTATAGGCAGTCAGCATTTTCCATTCAAACAACGCTACCCGTTCAGCATCGCCCCTATATAATCCTCCTCACCCCCTCCCTTGGGGCTGCAGTCCCCTTTGCTCAGCCTCAGCCAGATACTTCCTCTTAATAAAATAGACTTTCTCTTAATAAACTTTCTTAACTTGCCTGACTCTGCACATTTCTTTACCAGCTGACCTATCGCTTACCAAGTGCCAGGCACTATTCTAAGCACTATACATACTCTAATCTATTAGGAAATATTGTTATTACCAATTTTACTATTAAACTCCATGCGAACAGAGATCATTAGTTTTTCTTACCCCTGCATTCCCTGGAACACCGTAGGCAGTTAATAAGTAAATATTTAGTAAATAAAAGAAATTTTAGTGTAGCCCGATTTTCAGCCGAAAGGAGCAAGATGGACTTCAGCGCCATAGAGGGTGTCAGACAGCCCGTGGTTTCACGTCCTCCGGCGTCGGCCAAGGGCGAGGTCCCTGGGAGGAACAATATAAGCCAGTGGTTTAAATGTCCTAGACAGACCCTGCTGTGGGCTACCAGGACCCAGAAAACAAAAAGCGGAGATTTGAGGAGGCGAATCCCTTACGGGCGCGCGTCCAAGAGTCTAGGAAGCTGAAGCCGGCTGCCAAAGCGATCGCAGCCAGGAATCAGCCTCCAGTCGCTGCGAATCCACAGTGGGCAAGCCAAGCCCGCGTCCCTACGCTCTAGCCTCCAGAGGAGGAGACACCGGAAGTCTCGACTGCTCCTCCGGGCCTTTTCCCGCCTACTCCCGCCTCCAGCTGGGACTCTCGCGTTCCGCTGACAGGTAAGTCTATCACTGACAGGTTAGATTTTTCACCGGGAGGAAGAGTCCTGGTCTTTCCTACGCTCCGACAGGTTTATTTCACGTTTGCGTGAAAGTGTGCTGCCGCCAGGGAAGGTCCCTCAACGGTCCCCTCCGCGAGGCTCGCGTCGCTTCCGGGTCGCACCCTCCCTCCGCTGTGTGTTTGGTGCTAGGGAGCGCCGCGGTGGATCCGCGCCTTGGGATTCTACTAGGTGCCCTTTCAACCCGGAGTTATGAGGCTGTGTGTAGCTAATCTTGGCCTTTCCTGCAGTCCTTGTCCCCAGAGCACATTTGTGAAGCAGTTCTTCTTGGGGGTCTTCTAGAAGAGGTGGAATAGGGCACTTTGTTAGTGGTCCTGTTACTTCACTGTGAGAAGGACCCTGCCCAGACAATTGTAGAATATTCTGGCGCAGTGGTCATAATAATTTTTGTCCAGATCACACTTGGGCTCCATACAGAAACTGACTGTGGAACTGATTTTCAGCGTAGGGGGGACGGTACATGTATCAAAATATGCGTGTGTGTGGGGGGGGGGGGGCGCGCGCGCGATTTAGTGGCTGTGATTTTTAAATTTTAAACATTTTTAAAAAATCTATGAAGATTCTTGTATTGTGATTCTTGTTACTCGTCGTACCTTCCCCTAACTCCTCTCCATGCTCACCGAAGGGCTACTGCTCTACTTCAAGGTATTCTATTGGTTTACTTCACCTTTGGGTAGACGTTGTAACTCTGCTTAAACTTTGCACATTTAAAACACAATCTGTGTTACTCTTCTGCCCAAAATCTTAGTGGCCTTCAGGATAATACAAATTCTTTAGCCCGGCTTAAGACCTTTCAAGGTCTTGGTTCTTGTGTCCTTTCATGGAAAACATACATACACACTGTATATTCCCTCTATGCCAACCTGAAGTAATTTCATCACTTTGGATATGACAGTTTTATAATGGTTTACCCATGTTTTGAAATTTATTTTTCTATTCAATCAGAATTTGTTAAATACCTAATATTGCCAAGCACTGTTTTAGGTGCTGGGGATATAATGGGAGCAAAATGCAACCTATAGTCCTTAAAAATAATAATAATAATAATAACAAATAACAGTTTATTTGAGATATAGTTCACATACCATAGAATTAACCAATTTAAAATGTATGTTGATTTTTACTACAGTCACAAAGTTGTATAGCCATCACCACTGTTAACCTAAAAATAAATGGCCTTTCAAAGTGAGAGGCAACAAACATTTGTTTGCAGTCAAAGAACAGGTATTCCTGAAACATTGATTCAGGCAGAAGCCCAAATAATGCTCCAATTAGGAGACAAAAGCAAGGGGTATTTATGAGAATGGGAAAGGGAACAATTACATCAACAAAACGAAGGCATTTCTATTGGTCCAGGTAAGTTAACGAAGTGATGCTAATTCTAAACAATGTTTTTAATTTTCAGTCCAGTAGTCATAATACCTGCTTTCTTGTTTTCTTTGCAAATAGCTCTTTGGGGCTCAGTTGCTTTTGGCCTATTCCAAAGGGTATTTTGCCCTGTTTTACCATTCTAAGCTTTGAGACATAAAATGTGCAAGGAAGTTCCTCTGGGACAGCAGCTCCAGCCACATTTTAACATGACTCCATTTATATATATATATTTTTACGTCACAATCCATTTTAAAACATTTTCATCACCCCCAAAAGAAACCCTGAACCCATTAGTACTCTCTTCTGATTTCCTCCCCTACCCCACTCCACTCCTAGCCCTATGCAACTACTAATCTACAGTCTATATATTTGCCTATCTGGATAGTTCATATAAATGAAATCATACAATATGTGGTCATTTTTGATTGTCTTGTTTTGCTTAACATTCATGTCATCCATGTTGTAGCATGTATCAGTACTTCATTCCTTTTTATTCCTAGATAATATTTCATTGTATGGGTTTACCACCATTTATCCATTGGTCAGTTGATGGACATTTGGGTTGTTTTGGATTATGAATAATGCTGCTATGAACTTTCAGGTACATGTTTTTGTGTGAACATCATGTTTTTATTTTTCTTGGGTATATACCTAGGAGTAGAATTGCTGGGTCATAGGTAACTCTGCTTTTAACATTTTGAGGAACTACCAGTCTGTTTTCTAAAGCAGCTGCACCATTTTATATTCCCATCAGCAGTGTATGAAGGTTCTGATTTCTCCATATTCTCACCAATACTTGTCATTATCTTTTTTTTTTTAAATCTTAGCTATCCTAGTGGGTGTGAAGTGTTTTTCACTGTTGTTTTGGTTTGCATTTTCCTGATGGCTAGTGATTCAGAGCATCTTTTCATGTGCTTATTGGCCATTTGTATATCTTCTTTGGATAAATGTCTGTTCATATCCTTTGTCCATTTTTTAATCAGGTTATTTGTCTTTTCATCATCAAGTTGTAAGAGTTCTTTCAACTTCTAGATACTTCTTGTATACTTCAACGTCACCTTCTGTATATATTCTAGATACGAGTCTTTTATCAGATATATGACAGCCTTATATTGGGTTGTCGGAAAAGTCATGACGTATTTTTTCCATGTTTTTTGTTGCAAAAATGTGTCGTGATTTTTCTGACAACCCAACAGAAAGATTATTTTGTCGTTCCTTTAAATGAAAAGCACAAGAGGTTAATATTTACTTTCCCTGGAGACCATGTTATAGGTCTGTGGGTGGTAATTCAGAGAGTAAGTTGAACTACAACTGAGTGTGTGGAAGAACAGGCCCAGGAAAAAATGCTGTGAAGAATATGTGAGCAGCATTTTCAGATTTGAAAAATGAAGCAGGGGGAAACAGTTTATATAATTTGTCCATTCCTTATTGAGTTTTGTGTTTTCCTTTATTGATTTGTAAGAGTTCTTTGTGTAGAGATGTTAACCCATTGACTGTTAGATATGTGGCAGATATTTTCAGTCTGTTTGCCTAATAAATTTGTTTTATATCTTTTACTATACTGGTGTTTTACTCTTTTGTTTGTTTGTTTATAGTCGGGACTGTCAGTTTTTCCTTTGAAGGGCTTCTGGGTGGTAGTTTGGGATACTGCTGTTAAATTATATGAGTTAGAGAAACTGACATAGTAGTTCCATGGTTAGTGTGACATTTGAGTTCCTGGTACTGTATTAAAGTTTATAGTGTTTATTATTTCAGATACTTTTGCCTCTTTATCTCCCTACCTTGAAAAATATGCTATAATCTGCTTCAGCTTTGTTGGTTCATTTAATTTTCTATTCCAAACAGACTCCTAGAAGTTACCCCCTTATTTTTTTATTCATGTTTAATATACTGTATTAGATTTGTGAGAGCTATGTTGGGCAGTTGGTCATCAAATAGTGGTATTTATTTCGTGCTAGCAGAAGTTTATTTGAAGGTTTAATGTGTGCCGAGCTTGACTGTAACTATGCTGGTTCTATATTGATTGGGTCATGCTGGGAACAGTAGTTTTATAAAATCCTATTAACATTATCTTGGTATTTGTTTTTCTCATTTCATGGGTTTAAAGGTAGTGGCAATTCAAGTACTTTTAAGGTCTCTGGACATTTTGAGAAACTGAGGGAAGCTATATTACCATAGCTCTCTAGAAAAATGTGCATCTCTTTATTTTACATACGATGGTCCAGTGGTGTGATTTCTCCCTGTGGTGTGATTCATTAGAACTCTGTGTTTCTTGCTTCACTGTTTATTTAAATTGTGGTAGAATATGCATAACATGAAGTTTAGCATTTTAATGATTTTTAAGTGTACAATTCAGTGACATTAAGTACATTCACATTGTTGTGCAAATATCCCCACCATTCTCTCCAGAATTTTTATCTTCCCAAACTAAGACTCTGTACCCATTCAATAACTCCCCATCCTTTTCAACCCCTGGCAACCACCTTTCCACTTTCTGTCTTTATGAGTTTGACTATTCTACATATCTCATATAAATGGAATCATATAACATTTGTCCTTTTATGTCTGGTTTATTTACTTAGCATAGTGTATTGAAGGTTTATTCATGTTGTGGCATATTGCAGGATATCCTTCCTTTTTAAGGCTGAATAATATTCCATTGTATGCATATGAGTATGTCACATTTTTTCATTCGTTAGTTGATAGACATTTGGGGTGTCTTCATATTTTGGCAATTGTTAATGGTGCTACTGTGAACATTGGTACACAGAAAACTGAATACTTTTGGATATATACCCAGAAGTGAAATTGCTGGATCATAGTGTTACTCTGTTTAATTTTTTGAGGAACTGTCTATATGTTTCAGTGTTTTTTGTCATTCACATGATATATGAGATTTTAAAGAACTATGTAATTTAGGCATGTATTATCACATTTACCTAAAAATAAAAATTCTAAGAGCCATCTTCTAGTTGAAGAGATGGAGATATTTTTGTATTAGGACTTGGAGATCTTTGGGTTTTAAAATTATTAGAATTCAGACTAAATAAAGGGTTTACCTGGATAGCTTCCCAAATCCTAAACTTCTTTACAATCCAAGCTTTTGGGGTTTTTATTTGTTTATTTTTTCTTAATTCTTTCTATGTTGTCACTCTTTTTGGGCAAATTACCCATCGTGGCAGACTCTAAATTTGATTTTGCAAATTTGTATAATTCCAAAGGTCTAGATTGTTCTGGTGTCATCCTCACTTAACTCTGGTATGCTGTGAAAACTGCTGCTTCTGACAGGCAAGTTCACCTCCCCTTGTGTGAAGATATCCATGTCATTAATTAATGAAGAATGGGAAATAACCAACATTATTCTTTCTTTATTACTGTACCATTATTTTTTCAACTATTCCCCTGTTGTTCGAATTGTAAGTTGTTGTGGATACTGGGATCCCTCTCAATGACTGTGGCCTCCCTTGATCAATAGGGAAATGTAGAAAAACAGACAACAGTATAGCTCAGTCAAACCTTGGGAAATTAACATCTCCTATTGCCCACCAGACCCTCCCTACCCCCTCCTCC